CCCCAAAACCCCAAAACCCCAAAACCCCGAATTGCATAATTTAAGGATCCAAATGAAAAAAGAAAAATATTTGATATGATTAATTAAAGCATTAGAAAAATTATTGCTTTGTTTCAATGTTTAATGAAATTAAGTTTAATCAGTCATTAATTTTCATTAAAATTTAACGAGGAATTCAAAATTTTATTTAATCATAAAATCCTTGCATTCTATTATCATGTGTAAGTAACCCATATAACACTGATTTGATCAATAGAATTATTTCCCTCTATTCCTTTTATACCTGCTAGATAGCCACCATTAGGTACAGAAGGTTCGAAGTAACTTCCATCTGGTCCATACTAATAGCGATTGCCGGTGTTTGTGACGAAGGCGATTCCATTAATAGCAGCTGCGCCTCTGATTTATACTCTAACAATTTATTCACCTTGTGCTAAAGTGATTTCGTTAGAAGTTCCTCCAGAACCTCCATGAAGCGGTCCAGTTACAGATCCATAGGTGAATTAAAGACCTTCAACTATCGTACTAGCATAAACTTTGATTGAAGTAATATCTCCATATTGTAGATAGAGAGCTTCATCATTGAAAGAGTTTAGACCAGAAGAATTGCCGAAATTTGTTGAGTAAGATAACGCAGCCTACTTAGGAGTAGTAGGATCATAAGGGAATGAGTACTTTTCGTAATTGAAGAATTGCCATTTAGTCGAGGGAAGAATCAAAGCATCAAGCTCTGTATTAAGTTCTTGGGTAGCTTCTTTGACTAAATTGTCATATTGAACATTAGCTCTTGACTATGTCATGAGATCCTCTGATTCACTGCCAATGCGAGTCCTTTTATTTCCATTAACAAAGGTGTAGGTAGGATTACCTCTCTCTTTAACAACTTGAAGACTGATTTTTTTGCCAGTCTCATCAGATAAAGCTCTGAAAATTTCCATGGCTTTTTAAGAGTAGGTATCAATAGCACTTTGTAAATCATCGATTTGAATATCTTTGTGGTTATATGCTCTCTCTCTTAAAAGCACTAAATAGATGGTTCCAAAAATAGAGAAATGTGCTCCAGAAGTATCGTGAGATCGAGAAACGTCAAATCTCATTATCAAATTACAAAAATCCAAAGCTTTCACAAGAGTAGCAAGTGTCTTTGCTTTTAAATAGGCATCAATTTTTTCTCCCAGAATTGTTTTATCTTCTTAAAGATAAGTTAAGATATCAGAATTTGGCTAGACTTGTATCGCTTTTTACAATCTGATCTAAGAATTATTCCAAAAAACTTCTGTAAATAGATTTTATGGATCAAGCAAGGTATCATATACTACTTGAATTACATCCGTGTTGTTTTGCTTTAAAATCTTGTTGATAATGGTGTCTAATGAAATATCTTGAGAATCGTCATGCAATGCCACAGTAGTATTCTCTAAACTCATAAAGTTTTGCTGTGAATCTGTAGTTTAATTGTAGGAAACAAGAGCAATCACAGATAATGTAGCAATGAGTCCAATGAACCCTTTGGTAAGCTTTAACTTCCTTGGAGCTTCTTGATATGGCTTATCAAGAAGTTAATCCTCCTTTTAGGCTGCAAATTTTAGCATGATAGTATAGACTAGATATAATATCTTTGATAATTATGATAAATTTACTCATTAAACCCCCAAAATTAGGTTGTTAAAGCAAATATAAATTAACTGTTTGATATTTCTAAAATTGGAATTTTCCATTTGATTTCGTATAAGTGGGGTTTTGGGGTTTTGGGGTTTTGGGGTTTTGGGG